CTGGGGAATTCTGGGAGTTGAAGTCCACCCATCTTAAAGCTGCCAAGGTTGAGAAACACGGACCTAGACAATGGTCAGATAAATGAAATTTGCGTTCAAAGGAGGATGGGTGGCAGAAGCAACTCAGAACGGATCCTCCCTAGTTTTCGGGAGTGAAAAGGAAGGGAGGGAGGGGTACTTTCAGACTTGCAAGATTCTGTTAATGTAACCTAAGAATAAAGATAGAGCTGGTACTCCTGGGTGTACTTCTTGTCTGGACTACCTTGCAAGACTGACTCAGTCCAATGCTGCCGTGACAGGTGCACCAGCCAACAACAGTTGGCACTCGTCCTGCAAACCAGGTTCTAATTCTGACAAACGCACACAGGACGAATGCAAAATGGTTTGAGTTGCAAAGGGGAATCATTAGCTGGCTGAGAAGGATGGAGGAAATTACTGCTTACAAGAAGAATGGATCCAAAGCCCATTTGCCAGGCTTGTTGGCAAAACACCAAATCATGTAAATTGAGCCAGATAATAACAGGCAGCTGGAAGAAGATGGTGTAACACCTATCCTGCCAGGTATAAATTTTGTTCAAATACAATATGCAAAAGAGTTAATGCAAAGTCTGTCAGTGTATATTTATATATAATAAATCCCCTTTTCTCTTTGAACCTCAGCTGTCCTTGCTTTGTTAAAGCTTTGCCTCAATCCCTTTGTTTGGATTTCCAGGGTACTGTAGGGTTGCAATCCTAAATGCACTTCCTAGGGCAGTGTTTCTCTACCTTGGCAACTTTAAGATGTGTGGACTTCAACTCCCAGAATTCCCCAGCCAGAAAGACTGCCCTAGGGCATAAACCCCACTGAAAATTCTACACACTCATCAAAATTCTAAGCAGGTCTCCAGCTGTGTTTCAGAGCAGTGACTTCATCCAAGCAGCACCCCTACTCCTAGCCTCTTTTAATTTTTAATCCATATTTACATGATGGGGGAACCTGTTGCCCTTTAAATGTTGATGGACCAACTAAGTGGTGATGGGACTTGTAGCCCACAATACCTAGAGGGCAACAGGTCCCACCTTCCTTGTTTGCAATTTCTTTTCAGCAAGGGAGATAGGGCATCTTACAGTGGGTACTTTGCTGTGCAGGCAGGGCTTAGAAAAAAGAAGTTGATGATGTTTCCATGGGTAGTGGGAGGGAAGATATCTCCTTTCCAAGTTTCAGAAGGACAAGTCAAAAACAACATTCAAAGGTTAGAGAAGCTGAGAAATTGAGAAGAGAAGAAGAGTCAAGTCAGGCTCTGTATTTTGGATTGCCCATCTTAGCAACCCACTTCAAAAGAAAGCAAGATTTTCCCAGGGTTTCTTTTGACAAGATGTTGTGAAAGGAAACAGGATATGGTTGCAACATCTCAGGAACTATATTATTTTCACCTCCAGAACCCAATCTATCTCTCCGCTTGTTAAGACAAAGACTTTTTCAGCCTTATTAATGGTCTCTGCGTACTTGGCAAGGAGGCTGTTGTTTTAATTGATAAGCAAGGAATGTTCATGGCACAAATCTCTTTCAGGCTCTGAATGTAAGATTTCTTGTCGATGACTTGGAAAGAAGAGGAAGCCTAAGGCAGCATAAACTTGCACTGGCTGACCTCCTTTGAACAGGCCTGATATTAGGTGTGATTTGGATTCTCAACTGACATTCTAGGTCTTCAGCCACTGCTGTCTTCTGGTGACCACACACTGACACCCCTCCTCCTCACCTCCCTCCACATTTCAATTTAGTTTGGGGAAGTGTTCCTGCTCCTTTTCTCCCCATGGTTCAGGGAGTGACTGGCATGGGCCTGATCCAAGGATGCAGCCTGAACTTCAAAAATCTCAGAAGAGTGGAAGGCCAGGGATGTTTGGGGAGGGAAATTGTCTGGAGGAGCCCAATGAGGTGATCAGAGGCGCCTGTTCCCTCCACAAAAGGAGGAACTGAGTGGCCCAACACTGCCAGCTTCAGTCCCTTCCAGTGCGAGGGCTGCCTGGCTCCCCAGAGAAGGGCAATGGGCCCCTCAGTAGCTGTGAGGGTTGCATAATGGTGGTTGGTGACTCTGTAATTGGAAAGAGTCTTCTGAGGAGCTTATGGTGGAAGGCTGAGCACCAGCCTTCAGCCAGGTGCTCTGATATGTCTCTAGGTAGCAAATTGCTGTCTGGTCACTTGATGGCCATGGAGGAGCTAATTCTGTGGTGAGGAAAGGAGAGGAAAGAAGAAGTGACCTTGATCTGTCAAGATCCAGGGAACCTAGACTGAGCCAAACACACATACATGCTCTTTGGAGCAAGACAGGGCAGAACTGGAGAAGAAAAGATCTCCTTCTGCTGGAAGCAGAATAAATAGCTTTTTCTGATCCAGCCTCTGTGGAAGGCAGAGACCATAGTAGGATGTTTGGAATTGTTGTAGGAAAAAAAAGAAAATATTCCCAAAGGATGACACTATGCAGATAAGTTCATAGTTAATGGGTATGAATGAGTGTGTGTATCAGGCATGTTTTCAGAATATTCATAAGCACCGCGAATGGAGATTCCAGGCTCAAGTATATATCCTTCAAAGCATCTTCAACTGACATCAAAGTTAAGTTGGAAAAGTGCAAAAACTGACAGAAGACATGAAGTGCATGAAACACATGAAATGAACATATGCTGATGCAAAGTCACAATTTCTGTTCGTGTTTGCACTGGTTATTGTTCCTTTTAAGTGTTTTTTAAATTGTGATTACCTCTTGATTACATATGTCCAAGGTCCTCTCTGACAGCTGGAAAATAACCAGATACCCATATATGTGCATGAAATATCTATAGATATTACAGTGAACCGGGAAATTCCTTACACAAATAGGCTTTAATCCAGAAGTTAATAAAAAAAACTGTATAGCCTAACTGCACCCATCAGACTGAAGAGCTGCAAAAGACTCAAGGGCTTGTAGGATTAGATCAGCTTCCCTATCAACCCCAGCGATCAGACTTGGGGTGACAGATGTTGCAGCCAGATGGCCCTCGCATCCTAAAGAAACAGATCCAGACTTCCTGCCTCACAAAGTTACCGCTGCAGCCCACAATGGAAAATTCAACTGATAAAAGTTTTTTTTTTTTTTACCATCATCCAAAGTTCTCTCATTGGTCCAGTTTGTCCTCTCTTTTACATTTTTGAAGTGTGGATGTTTCTCACTGAGTCCGGTATCAAAGACAGCCACTCTTACACCAGCTCCTATTTGTACAGAAGATGAGGTACAGAATGACAGATTAGAAGAGATCCACTTCTGACGGTATCTTAAGAAATGATTCCTGCACACTTATGTACAGAAATACATAAAGCACATATATAATGTTTTATGAAAATATTCTGCCCACCTTAGAGTTTAGCAGATTACATCACTGTTTACCCAGCTTTAAGATGGGTAGACTTCAACTCCCAGAAATCCCCAGCCAGCATAGCTGGCTGGGGAATTCTGGGAGTTAAAGTCCACCCATCTTAAAGTTGCTGACATTGAGAAACACTGGGTTACATAAATGTAACATAACCTTAAAGTGTTTTTTTTACAAAAAAACTGCACTGAGAATTCTTCCAATAGGAAGGACTTTAATTTTTTTTTTGTACTTTGTAACTAAGTCTAATCTTCCTAATCAAGAGCGAGCTGTGCAACGTCTTATCATAAAGCCGTTTCGTAATTATGAAGACTGCGCATAGCATCTACGAAGACACCTACCCGAAAAACCCATTTGCCAGAGCACATCAGCCTGAAGGGTCTGCGCAACCTGCCGAGGTATTGCTCTTAGCAAACGCCTGCTGGAGTGCCTGCCGGTCGCGTGCCAAAATCCAGAACCCAGAGACAAACTGGCCCTTCTGAGCGGGCGGGACGATTGCCACTTCTGCGTCCATCTGGTCTCATTACAGGGAAAGGCTGAATCTGCTACACATTTGAGAAGGACAGATATAAAACTTGACCAGTTAGGGTACTCATGTAGTAAACAGTTTCTCATGTCTAGCTATCTGTAAGTCTAGATCCATATCCAGGCACTCAGATTAGAGCATGCCATCATCATCACCTACAGTCCAGTACAATTATAAAGACAAACCAGAATGACTGACAGATAAGTGAAAGACACGTTTTGCATTTCTCTCATTCACAGAGAATTGGATCATGAAGATGAACTTTTCTAACACTTTTCTACAATTTCTCCTGCATGAACTAGGTGACTCAGACTTCGTGCACAGTCAAACATGACACATTGCACCTTCCCAGGGTTGCTATGACAGACACCACAGCTCAGCAACATGGCGATCGTGACATCCATAGATGTTCCTCACTGAGCTTCAAAATTCATTGGAAACAATCTCTCTCTCTCTCTCTCTCTCTCTCTCTCTCTCTCTGAAATCTTGCCCTTGGAACCTGTTTCTTTTCACAAAAATATTTTTTTTCATTTTTTAAAATATAACTTTAATTTAATTTATTTGATTTAGATGCTGCCCAACTCCAACCGGCTCTGGGCAGTGTGCAATAAAACCCACAAAATAAAACAGTGATGGTGAATCCGGCTAGCCACACCCACACAGGATCCAGCAGGGGCCCCATCCATCTCAATCCAAGGCCTGGGGGAACAGCCCGATCTTTAAGGCTCTCTGGAATGTCAGCAAGGTGGGAGCCATGCAGGTATCAGGAGGGACTTCGTTTCATAGGTCAGGCACAGCACAAAGAGGGCACACTCCCGGGGTCCCAATAGACGAAATTGTTTAATTGAAGGGATCCAGAGCACATATGATATTGTGCAAATCCATAGGCACCATGTTAGCAACCCCTTTAAAAGGGTGCTGACTGCTATCCCACACTTACAGAAAAACATTTATTTTGTTAGAAAATAGACTTCAATAAAGGAAAAAGCAAGCATGATTCCCTTTGTACTTCATTTACCTCCTTAGGTTTCAGATCTTAAATAGATTTCTTAAAACCAAGATCTGCACAGGTTTATTCGCCATCTCCGCAAATCTATGGGGCTATTTTTCTGAGTAAGATCATCATAAGCTAAGATCATAAAGAAGTTACAAAAACTCCCTCATTCAATGCAGGCTAGCTTCTACAGGATTAAAGAAACCAAAAAGGAATTCTTGGCTGCTTTGTTGAGCTTAGAAAGGCTGATATGTTGCACTTGTTGGCTCAGAAGTAACTTAAAATTGCTTTCTAAAAGGCATTATGTGAAGCACAACGCTGACTTTTTGTAAACAAATTCATAAAAGGTGTATATCTCTGGGAATAATCTATTAATCATATCTAAATTGCCATAGTGTCGTTGCCAGCCTCGGCAGTCAGCAAAAACATGTGGTCAACGATAATCTTGTGCAAGCCTTGACTCCGCCCTTCTAAAATTGAACGGGCAGGATCTCCATCATGATAATGTTCTCAGTACCTTCAAAGCTCAGTACAAGGTCAAGAACATGGCCCAATCTCTCACAAGGCTGCAACAAGCTTGCCAAACTGAAAGAGCAATAAAAGCAAGAATTTGTGGACTCTTTCATTAACACAGAAAAGGAATTTTAACTTTTTCAGCAAATGAGGAGATTGGGCACCCTGGGCTACAGGGATACTCTGAAAAAAACAAATGGCCCATTCCCTTTTCCTACTGGGCGTATATATCAAAGCTGATGGGAAAACCAAAAAATTGGATAAGAGCTGCAGATGGTGCATTTGTCACTGAGGATGGGGCCAAGCGTGGAGAAAGGGCAGAGTTCAGGGCTGCTTTTCCTGACATGGTCCACGCTAAGCTCACGAAGGAACTGGCAATAGCCTTCTCCATCACCTGTAATGGGAGCAAGTAAACAACCCGTATGGATTGTTAACAGTGGATTGGGGTTTATTGTTATCATTTTTACTGTTGTAACCTACTCAGAGTCTTCCAGGCTACCAGACAAACAAATAAATAAGAGTTGCTCCCTTCCCTTGGGGTTTTTTAGTACCTTTGGATGAGGAAAGAGGGCAATGCACACCCTATGGCACCACCAGAAGGCATCTACTGATGCCTAGTATACAAGATAAAAAGCATTTAGGTTAAAAAAAAGGGGGAGCTGAAATCTGAAACAGCACAGATCTCATGAGATGTGGCTATTGCGTGAGGTCTCACAAGATTTCAACCATTTAAAATTATACTTTAAATAATTTTATTTTTATATGTTGGGACATACAGCATCTTGCAATATCAGATGAAGGTGCCTGATACCAGCAAAGATTGCCAACCTTATACTAAGCCATAAAATTTGAATTTGCTTTAGGTTTACCGAGTTCTGGGTGCGCAGCAATTGTTCCACAAACTATAGCTTATGACGTCATATACTTTCACTCCCAGCAAGCTCCAAAGCAATTTCTTGACTGGAGTGAAGTAATCATGATTATTTTTTTTTCTCTCCCCCCAGATTTGTTATACTTTTCCCCATGGAACTAATCCTTTCCAAAGAAATCACAATATCAGTTCATGGCTTTGCGCAGAGAGTAAAACATTAGGAAATGTCATTAAACCCCCTTCAGCACTGGATTTTTCAGGAAGGCTGCACACAGAAGGTACATTGTTCCTAAACCCATATCCATTAATAGCTTAACTCTGGATTATGAAGCAAGATCCCCGTGAAATAGCTCAGACATAATGAAAAGACAAAGACTGAACAATCCAAACTGAGTTTTAAAAACAAACATGATTTGGAAAATTCCAGAGAAAGATACAGTAAATGATATAATGACTGGCCAGTCTTTGCAGGAACAATTCACTGAAATAATGAGCAGGCTTACTTTCAGAGTACTTTAGCGAGCGAAATACTTTTCTTTGTGGGGTAACTCGTTTGATATTGGGATGGTCTTCTAGCGTCTGCACTCCAACTTTCTGATTCTCATCGATCTGGATCACTTCAAAGTCACTGGGATAATCGCTAGCTGGGTTGTTGCGGGGTACAATCCTCCAATTCTCTATGTCGCTGCTCTTCAGTGCTCTTGAAATAAATTTGCTTCTCGCTTGGGCTGAAAAGTAGCCATTGAAAGCCACAATATATTCTGCAAAGGGACGTATTACTACATATTAGACAAGGCAAAGAAAACCCTACAATTGTATGGGTTTGAACCACCTTTTAGGAAAGAATCAGACAAACTGGAACAAGTTCAGAGAAGGCCACCAAAGTCCTAAACAAATCCCTATAAGGAGACATTGAGAAAATTGCATATCTTATTCTTGAAAAGAAAGAAACTGGGGAGCACCCTAGTACTCCTTGATTTTCATCAGGTCAGAAGGTCACATACAGCAAAATATCAAATATTCCTGTGTTCCAGAAACCTATTAATTCCTTTCAGATGCCTGAGCTATAGTTGACCTCGAGTTACAACCACTCATTCAGTGACCATTCAAGTTACAATGGTGCTAAATGAGGGAGACTTACGACCAGTCTGCGAAGCTGCAGCCGTTGCAGCATCCCCGTGGTCATGTGAACATGATCTGGGTGCTCGATGCCTGGATTGTGATTACATCACAGCAAGCCAGTTACATGATCACAATTTCCAACATTCCCTGCCAGCTTCAATGGGGGAAAGCAAAGTCAATGCAGAAGCCGGCAGGAAGTCAGATGTCGCTCCCATTCCCACCACTTTTTTGCCCGTCCACACTCCAAAGCGTCTGCCTGCGGCATCCCCCATCCCCCCACCTGCACCCCCGGCACCTGTCAACCTGCTTGCCTGGGACTACTACCTCTTCCCCGCTTAACAACCCACGTGGTCTTGGGGTTACAATGCAACTGGGACTGCGGGATTGCAGGCACTAAGCAATGCAATCACATGATATCGTGCTTTATGACTACATCGCTCAGTGATGGAAATTCTGGTCCCAATTGTCATTGTAACCTGAGGACAATCTGTAGTCCTGCTTTAGGCATGAAGCCAGCTGGGTGACGTTGGCCCAGTCACTCTCTCTCAGTCCTATGAAGAAGCAGCCAAGGGCAAACCCCCTCTGAAATCTTATTAGTTTGTATTAGTTTTTACCTTCATTTTTAAAACTTTTATTATAAAAAAAAAAAAAAAATCTCGCCAAGAAAGCTACAGGGACTTGTCCAGGCAGACACCAGAAGTCAACATTGACTCAAAGGCACTAAATAAATGAAAAAGTATCCCATAAGCAATACACAAACTCAGACATATATACAAAACAATATATCTGTATATTAACCTATGATATCATTTCTTTATTTTATTTTATTTTATTTTATTTTATTTTATTTTATTTTATTCTATTCTATTCTTTTGGTGCCTTCGAGTCATTGTTGAATCTTGGCAACTGTCTGGACAAGTCCCTGCAGTTTTCTTGGCAAGATTTCAGAAGTGATTTGCTCTTGCCTCCTCCTTCCTAGAGCTGAGGGAGAGGTGGCCCAAGGTCACCCAGCTGGCTTTGTGCCTAAGGTAGGACTAAAACTCCCAGTCTCCCGGTTTCTAGTCTGGTGCCTTAACCACTACACCAAACTGGCTCTACCATTAATAATTACAGATTATTAATCTGACAAACTTTCTTTCTTCCTAGCATTTTCCTGCAGGTACAGGGTCCGTTTTTCAGATCAACTGAATGTTGATCCGTTGGTTGCAACAGGAATTGACGGACCGGCTTGTAGTGAAACAGATTTCATACACCACACAGAACATGTACTTTGCTGATTGAGACAAAGTAGTTAATAATGAGCTAGACTTAGCCAAGGTCAGAGTGCCCAAGGCCAGTTATGTTATTTGGCCTTCTGAGGACAACAATCCCAGTAGTAAAAGTATATTGCAAATAAATTAATTCACCCTTTGCTGCCATGATAAAGTGTTTCTAGGCAACTGCCTCACTCTGCACAAAACAGGTCAGCCCTTTCAGGCAGCCTTTCCTCCTTAAAAAGGAGAACTTTTTTTTTTTTTTTGCATTTTCCAAAGGCTCCAGTATATCTGCTGCAAAGGATTCATTACCGTGTTCTACGACAGTTGAAGAGAATTCCACTTTCAGTGTCAGATGAGAGCATTCAGGACATAAATGACTTTCCTGAGATGAATTCCCCAGCCTAGTGCCCAGGTGCTGTTTGCCACAGAGTAAGATTGCGGTTAGAAACACCCAGGTGTTTGCAAGCCTCATGGTCAGGAAAGAATATGGTTTCATTCCCAGATTTCCATGGAGTCAATTCACACGGTGCTTCTCCATGAATCAGTTCTTTCTCTTTCTCTCCCTCAGTCTCTTGATTTCAGGGGAAAGCCACTCTTCTAAGTGCTCTTTAAGTTGACAGTCTTAATGTTTTGTCCAAACCAAGCAAAAGTCTTGCCTGCATAGTCTTTCCTGATGAAGCCCAGCAGTCAGGCTAATTTCTTTCTCCGTTTTTTCTCCATCTTTGATGACAAGATCCTGTCACTCAGGATTCAACAGATCAGCCATGTACTCCATTTCAGATAAGACAAAGTGGAAAAGAAGCCAAAATTCAGGGGTAAGGGTCACTGTTCATATTTTTTTCAGGTGCAACCTGTAAAAATAAACATCATATTAGTTAAATATTTGTTAATATATTGACATGGCAATAAGTATCTGGACTGCAATGCTGCTCTAGGTATTCAAGTATAAATGCCATGACAGCCTGTGGAATGTAATTGGGGATAATGGCTATAAAAACAGGTTGGGATTGCCTCACTTTAAAGAGATCCACAGCTATTCCACCGGCTGCAGGTAAACACAAGGCCAGACAGAGCCAGTTTGGTGCAGTGGTCAAGGCACCAGGCTAGAAACTGGGAGACTGGGAGTTCTAGTCCTTCCTTAGGCGCGAAGCCAGCTGGGTAATCTTGGACCAGTCACTCTCTCTCAGCCCTAAGAAGGAGGCAATGGCAAACCACTTCCAAAAAACCTTGCCAAGAAAACTGCACGGACTACCCCAGCAGTCACCAGGAGTCAATGCTGACTTGAAGGCACTAAATAAATAAAAACAGTGAAGTGGTCTTCCATCAACTTACCATGTCTGTTAAATTGTAATTTTAAACTTCTGAACTATTACGAGGGCACTGGCAGAAATACCAAGTAGAACTGTAGTGAACAAAACAATGCAAACACCACAGATGTTCACATTCTTTAATACTGGAAAGAATTACTTCCAGCAACACAAATCCTGTTGTCTTTGTTACGTTATTAAAGGAAGGTGTCCCACTAACAGATGCATTGAATCCATTGCAACAGGCTTTTAAGGATCACTCATCCAAGTACAGGTAGTCCCCAATTTAAGAACGAGTTCCCTTCCCAAAGTCTGTCCTTAAGTCGAATTTGTATGTAAGCCAGAACAGTATTATTGTATAATGCTGTAGAAGAAGCATTGTGTAATGAACTCAAGCCATTGTGTATTTAACTCAAATCATTGTGTATTTAACTCGCATTTTGCTACAATAGGCTCTATTCTTAACTACGGGTCATCCATAAACTGGGCGTTCTTAACCCGGAGACTCCCTGTACCTGAAATGAGTGAGAAGTGCTACAGGAATTGGATCAAGATATTCTAAAATTGAAAAGAAGGGGGGGTGTTTCTTCCCACACAAGAGCTTCAAGGAATTATAATTTATTTACTTTGGGCAGGTGAACCAGAAACTAATTTGAAGCTATTTACAGAGTGGCTACATAACCCTTGCCAGAAAAATATGCAACTTAGCAGGATGGGCCAAGGGTAGCATAAAAAATGGGTTCATTAACAAGTACAACAAGGATAGGATAGAGGAAATGAAACAATAAATAGCCAAGAAGCCAAATCTGCAGATCAGCCTTCTATCCAGCACATTCATTCACAAAAAGCAGAAACAAAAAGCCATGTCTTAAGATTTCTCCATTCATTTTCCCAACCTCAGTACACATTCTACCAAGGTATACAAATTCATCGGCTTGCTCTATTTCTTGCTATTTGATAGAACTTGCAACTATTTCTCTGTATTTCACAAATTAACGACTGTCTTAGAATCTGATATATGGATTTCCAGTTCCATACGCCTTGCTGCATCAATCTATAAAATTTGCTGCAAATCTTGAGAACTTAACCAGATAAAAACACAGTTTCACCTGCAGGGAAAAGTACACACACTTTCAGGCCCCAAACTGACACACCTCTGTGAACGGATGTCTTTCTCAAACATTTGACATATTAAACAATCAAGGGGGCATCACACATCCTTGATTTACTTGCTTGCTCCCTGTTGAACCATGTGCTAAGCATTCCATTTATTTCCTCGTATAGTTTATTTCCATCACATACTGCTCTTATCACATTCAGCAATCAAACTGATTTGCCAAAACAATTTTTTATTTCCATCAAAATCACTGCATTTTCCGTCCTCTTAATCTTAACTGCTCCTTGATCTGACTACATTCTTTGCAACTAACTTTTCCTCTCTATATATATCGTATATTTCTCTCCTGCTGTAAACATTTCACTCCAACTTTGCATACTCAACACACAACTATGGCACTCTGTAAGATAATTCTTTCCACTCTTCCAAGCAGCTTCCATGTCCTCTTCCTTTAAAAATACTTCCCATTCATTCTTTTTGGGAGAGTATTTCCTGAGAAATTTTCATAAAGGACTTGTATTTTAAAATCCATTCTAATTAATACACTGAAATCAGGCATACATGAATAAACAAAGAAAATTCTCAGTACATTACAAATGATAGAAACCAACCAAACGTCATTCAAAATAAATCAATAGCATACAAGGTTTGCAATCAAAAATAAAAAGATAATACATATTATAGAGAGCGTGATAACCCAGCACGCTGACAATCAAGCGGCCATATCTACAAAAACACTTGTTTAAAAAAAAAAAAGCAGCTTGTTTTATAACTCAGTATGTTGTATGAATCAAGCCTGTGAGGTTTATAAATTATAATGGCCATGTCTCGCATGTTATGTGAACACCCATTGTTTAATCTCATTGTCAGGAACCCAATCAGATTGAATAAATTGCAACAAGAGTATTTTCCTCACCATTTAGTGTTTTTTCTGTTCATCATGTGAAATGTTAATATCTAAAAGCAGAACATGAAGTAACCGTATGCAATGAAAGAGAAAATTAGATTATATATATGTGCATGTATGTGAAAAAGTGAAAAAAGGAACAGTTGAAAGCACAAGAGTATTCCAAGGAGAGAAAGAATTTGCATTCAGCTGTGATGAAACACTGATAGCAGAGAGATATTTATGTTCATGGTCTAATTCTCATGCATCTAGATTATATTATTTTAGACTGGACGTGGGGATTTTCTCCATGGAAGTCTTCAACACACAAAAGGTCAGAGAGTAATCTCATTTCTTTACAACAAATCATTCTGACATGAGAAAAATCTACCATGAGAAGCATTTAGTCATGTAAGCATCCATCTGCAATCTGTATGACGCAGCCCAGACTGTTTACTATTTCAGAGAACAGACCCTGAAGACTGATGTGACAAGCGAGAAACATTGAAGTGGAAGAGACAGGATGAGAAGGGCATTTAAGTTTCACCCTCCCATGTTTGTGTTTTTTTCTCCAAAGAAAGGTTTCTCTATTATCTCTAGATATTGTTGGACTTACAGTGCTCACCACTTTCCGTCAACATACAGTAGTAGTGGTTAGATCATAATTTATGCTGTAATCCAACAACTGGAAAACCACCTAGAGTGGATGAGAGTTGGGCGGCATACAAGTTTAATCATCATCATCAACATTAACATCATCATCATCCTGAGCTGCAAAAGGCAATTAACTGTACACTTAGTTTATCCTGCGATGACTCTAAAGTGTTACCTGGCTAACACCACATTATCCTTCTCTTCTCACTCTTCCTTTTTCCCACTCCTGCGATCGTGAACATACATGCTTCATGTCCTCCCAGAAATCTGTACAGCTTGTTTCCCAAGGGGAGTATTAACATTTTAACGCCCACCGTTTCAAATGACTGGGCCAATGCCTCCCGCCCCACGAGGGAAACATGGCCAATGTCTTGTTTCGGGTTTTGTAGCTGGGTGACAGAACCCTGCAACGTTTCCTCCACATCTGGGCTCTCCTACTGTAGAGGCCGGTGGGAACACCAACACTTCTCAGAGCTCCGTGCAAACATCAATCCAGCGCGCCCATCTCTGCAGACTGAGAGGAAGCCAGTTTGCCCACCTCTGTAGAAGGCGAGGCTGGTTTACTAAATCCACAGCCTACCCCTCCTCCACAAAGCTGCAAG